AAGTGAATTTTGGGTTGCATCTCACCAAATTTCCCATAAGGCAATGCCTCTGGCATCCTTGTCTCACTACCCTACAGATAGTATTCTGCAGGTCAGCATGTTGACTAATCTGAATGAGTTATCAAACTTTTACTTACATCACGTTGCTGTTTCTTCAGCTTTAGGTTCCATTTGCTTCTGGTTGTGATTCTTTAAGCCAAGTTGGATCCCTAGCAGTTAAGTTCTCTGTTACCTACTTATTTATCATTTGGGTCCACACCTGTGTTGTGCATGGTAACCCAGGTACATCCGTACCACCCAACACACCTTTTTAACTATGACAGGCATCTGTTTCATGAAATAAATCATGGTTTCTATTTTTATAATGTGAGAGTTTCTGTTTGAATGGATTCATCTAATCAGAATTCTCCCATCCATACATGTAATAGCTAAATGTCTGTTATGCTCTATATCTCCTGAATGGTTAATTGTCAAAAAAGAAATTACATTTATCAAAATGCTTATTTTGAAAAGTACATTACAGAAAAATCATTAATTTTTTGCAATTCCTAAAATTTCATATTGATAACAACATCGAACCATCAGCCTTCATATATGCTGAATGGTCAATCTGAGAAAAAAAGTTATTAAGAAAAAATGTTTATTTTTATGTCGACTGCTTGAAAGAAATATTTGAATGATGGGAGCATTAACAGAAAAAACCCCATAAAAATAGGGACTTGTTTGAGTATATATATATATATATATTTGGTGTTATTTGGTTTATATATTTTGTTATTCTTATTTTTTTCCATGTCACTATTATATTATATACATGCATGATTTTATTATACCATGTCAAATAAACTGATTTGAACTTAATTGAATATCTTTCACTTGACACTTCTAATAGAAATGGTAACTGCCAAAAATGTGCTCACTTCAGTAGTGGTCTTTTTTTCTTGCATTCAGTAAAATGGCAAGGAATGGTGGCATCCAGTGGAAAAAAAATCTGTGTAGCTACTTAGCGAACCTGAGTGCTCTATTATGCTGAATGCACTCATTGCATTAAAACCAAAACTTTTTTGCCAGCAATGCATCACAGTCAGTCTCCTTTGCATAAAATCAAATGTAGTGCAATTTTCGTTATTGATATAACACATGGAATGCCAAAAGATGGCTGTAAATAGCCCACTAGACAATTATATTGCTTATACACTGTGATCCAAGGGATTGGGTTGACTGCACATTTTATATTTATTCATCATTATTTTTAGGAAAATTACTGCTAAATTGTTTTAATGGGCATTTGCTGGTGTTACATATACACCTTTGCTAGTGCTGCATGATAACATGTTGCCTTCTGGAAATGGACAGCAGATGCCATCTGGTGGCTGATATTGCCTCAGCAGGTATATTTCCCACATTTGTGTGTAGATCCTTTCATGGTATTGAAAATAATTGGAATTGAAATGACTGTTCTCCATATGATGTCTCATAGCTCTAAACAGGTTTGGGAAAACCTTATAGCTTTACTTCTGTCTTTTCTTTACCTTATTTGGTGTTTTCATTGCACTGTCGTGAAGGTGTGAAGACCATCCTCAGGTCTGCCTGAGTCTCTGATTCTCCTCAGATGCCCACTTATTAGGGTGAATTGGCCAGCCTTTGCTTCCAGGAACATGTCAGTCATTATTTATTACTGGCTTCCTCCTCTGTGAATTTTCTGCTGCAGGTGCAGGAAAATGCATTGCAATCTGATGCTGAATACCTATAATGCCACTATCTGTAACCACAACTGAGAATTTCCATGGCTCTACGGGTACATACATGACACCTAATCTCCTTTATATATTATTTTAAGGATGTCAAGGGTGGTGAGGTACCCTCTTGAGAAGGTTGCCTCTCTTTCAGATTATCCTCATTTTGATACATTCTCTTATGAGGCTGGTCTGTTTTCTTTTATTATCCCTTAAATCCACTTTACTCTAATTTTGGATTCTGCTTGGTCACATCTTTCACTTGTTGTGGACTAGTTTGTTAATTTCTCAACTAAGAGCCCAACTTTTTGTAAACCAGTGGTTTTTAAGACTCTCGGGTACTCTCTTCCCTTTCAGTTTGGGTATTCTGACTTTTAGTATTTCATTGGAAAATCCACTTGATTTGAATTTAAAATGTTTAGAATTAAAATGAATCTCAAACAGGTACTTACCTCTGAAATATAATCCCACCCATCTTCCCACAACTAGGAGATATGTGGTTTTCCACCATGACTACAATTAAGAAATCTAGGTTATAGTGAGAAATTGGAAATGTAGAGGAAGAGGTCCAAGGTGTACCTAACCCTCCTAGGTCCAACAAAATCGGACCAAAAATTCTATACAGCAAATGTTGTGATGCATGCACAATATATCACGTAGAAGATCAGAGAGTAGAGAACACTAGACAAGTTGGTACATGCACTGCATTGTGTCAAGGACATTCAGAACCTAAAGTCACATGATTGTTGACAGTATAAGAACAAATCAACAAGGAGCCCCTTAGTTTACAAAACATTGTGAGCACATGGAACATTGCGGTAGTGTAGGCTGATCCCCATAAATTTTTAAACTGGATTTACAAGATTCGCAGATAATAACTCTTAGATGACAAAGAAAACTCAGTAATCTGTAAATCTACAGAAAATTGACATTCTAGATAGAAGGAGCAGAAGATTGAGACCATTTAGCACTTAAAATAAATATTGTATAGTATTATTATTATTATTATAAAGAATTCATTATTTAAAAGATTGCCTACAGGATCCAACCCAGCTTGCTGTAATGATAGGCTAGTACTAAATTCATTAGGCTAACAGTGAAGTTGGAAAGAAATGTAGCTAGTAGGTACGTGGTATATTTAGTAATTGTTGTAAGGCAATAAAACAGTATATGAGAAATGCTACATTATATTTTTGGATTACTTGCTGATAGTGCACAAAAATGTGTAAAGTTTGGTTGATTACTAAAAACACATTAGTGAGAAAAATGTTCTTTCAACCATAAGTCACAGTTACATTTGTTGGATAGTTAAAGTAAATAGTATCGATGATCTGGAAGTAAATTTCTTCATTGATGAATTGTTGTGCTTGTTTGAAGAGTATTGATATAATTTTGATAGCTCATGATATAAGATTAATTTAGTTACGTCTGTTATTTTTCTAACATGCTTTGACGTGACATTTTTGTTTTTGTTAATCAATTACAAGAAGGTAGTTAGTCCTCAGAGCGTATGCCAATTTCCTTGTGGACTTTAATGTATCTATTAAAAGTGAATGGCATTTGTGTAAATAGACAATTAATATAGCACTGGTTAATATTAGGGAATAAGAAATGTGATGATTAGTAGAAGCATGCTCCCATTAAACAAAAAACAGTTTTGGTTTTTGCTGAATCTTAAAGATCCACCTCGAGTGTACATGGACCCGATGAATAACAAATAACTATTCAGTTTGCCAAGAAATTTAACATCACTAAAGAAAAAGCTGATTATGTCATATACATAGAATAATATAATTCAGTGGTACTTACACAGGGCATTTTGAAAAGTACCCATATTCATTTTCTTGGGGATTATGTCATATACATAGAATAATATAATTCAGTGGTACTTACACAGGGCATTTTGAAAATACCCATATTCATTTTCTTGGGGATTATGTCATATACATAGAATAATATAATTCAGTGGTACTTACACAGGGCATTTTGAAAAGTACCCATATTCATTTTCTTGGGGATTATGTCATATACATAGAATAATTTAATTCAGTGGTACTTACACAGGGCATTTTGAAAAGTACCCATATTCATTTTCTTGGGGACATTGATTTTAACTACAAATTCTAGCTTGAGAAAAATAAGACAGCTTCAAACATTTTGCAATGAAGTAATATATTTAAAGATATGAGTACATGAGTAAGAAGCTACATCTTATATCTAAATTAATCTAAAACCCCCATAGATTGCACTTTCAACATAGCAGACATAGTGAGAGCTGACATTTATATAGCTGGAGAATACAATTCTCAGGTCTTTATAACACAAGTCTTATTCAGTGTTGAACTTGTGTATTTTACATTATAACTATTATTTTAAAGTAACATGTATTAAGAGTTTAAACATGAAAAATGCACAGATAGTGATATGGAAGTAAAGGTCTTTGTAATTAATTTTTAGGTGACTGATAGGCTTGTACTTTAGGGTAAAGAGTGGAATCAAAGTGTGAATTTTTTTTCTTCATCCCATACTTTTTTGTAAGAAAAATTTTTTAGCAATTAATATAAATTATTGAAATGATTAAAATACTGTATGTACCTTACAGGCAACAAAACATTTTACTAATTTTTTTTATTCACAGTGAAAGAAAATGCTAAATTAATGTCAAAATATTAACATGTAATCACAAGCACCTCACAGTGTAACAGTATATATATTTGACATAAACAATACTTTCTTTAAAATTTATGTTAGAACCCAAAGTTTAAAAGCTTTAAATACATGCACTCTGTACACTAACATAGTTCAACTGGTTGTTAACTTAGGAAATAAATTCACAGAACAAAATACCACACAAGTCTTAGCATAACCCTAATCCTTTGACATGATGATTGTTCTTTTTTTTAATACTTGTAGCAAGAAATATTAATTGTTAAAGCCAAATCTGTCTCTCTTTTTCTCACACACACTGTGTTTTTGAATATGTAATTAAACATAATAAGTAATTGAACATAAGACATTCTTATACATGTACCATTGATTCTGTTTAAAAACTATATTGTTTTGCATGTTAATATATAAATGTCCAATGCTAGTAAAGTTTTCATATAATCAATTTTAAAGTAAGCAATGATTTTTAAAATTTGGACTGATGATGAGGAAATGAATGAAAAATAACTTTTGGAAGATTGGAGAGATACATTAGATTATAGTTTTACATTCTGACTTGTTCATGCCTTCCAACATGAATTTTTTCTTGAATAATAGGAGATGAGAAGGAGGAGGAATGAGGTGACAGTAGAATTGAGGAAGAGTAAAAGAGACGAGTCTCTCTTAAAGAGAAGAAATGTACCACAAGCTGATTCCACCGATGAAGATGAAGCAGATCGAAGCCTTAACCACACAAATCTTGAAGTCATTGTTCAAAATGCCACTAGTCCTGAGCCTGGAGTACAGCTTAGTGCAGTGCAGACTGCAAGGTATGTAGTGGCTTAACTCCGGAAGTTTACATCAGAACCATAGTAACTTTGCTATGTACAAGGCTGAGTTTTTAATGTAAACATTTTGGATGACAAAAATATCAAAATAAACACAAAAGTATTTAATTGTTTCTATTTAAGGTTATGATTAAAACATATATAACAATGATTTCTGACTACAGATTTCATTTGTTAAATGAAAATGAATGTATCCATTGACATCCAATGTCACCAATTTTATCTCGTATCACACACTTAGTTTCATAATTTGTCACTCAGATTGAAATTAGTCTAATAATGTCACATGAACGAGTGCTTCAATAACATCCTTGCAGCTAGTGTATAAAAATGATTCCTATATGTTTTTGCAATATAATTTGTCACTCAGATTGAAATTGGCCTAATAATGTCACATGAATGAGTGCTTCAATAACATCCTTGCAGCTGGTGTATAAAAATGATTCCTATATGTTTTTGCAATATAATTTGTCACTCAGATTGAAATTGGCCTAATAATGTCACATGAATGAGTGCTTCA